CAAAATTAACTTTACGCTAGAATTTAGCTGATATTTGTTAAAAATATTAGCAAAAGCTTAAAACGCTTAAACTATAATTAAATGGCAATTATTCAGTAATATATCAGCAACTAAATATGTTTGCTAACGGCAACAGCTGCGGCAATATTATCATATGAAATAGCATCACTCTTGTTTGGTCACCCTATATCATAAATATGGTGCGCATAGCTTTGGTTTTGGCTTATGCTTCTGTGCGTATATATAATTTTACCGTTTCGTAGCCTTGTTTGTAGCGTTCAAGCACACTTTCTAATTTAACTATTTAATACTTTGTATTGGCTAAGCTCTACATAGGCAATTCTAACAATAGAGAAATTTGTAATATTTCGTATGAAAAAAGTGAGAGTCGTTAATGTGGGCTGATTAAAGACGTATTCAATTTATATATACATATATGAAATTTTGTTGAACTTGTGTGAAACGCCATCCATTGTACCCTCAGTCTGTCTGCGGGCTCGTCTGGCCTTTCCGTCTCTTAATATCGCTCTATAGGGAGACAGAAATTGAAAGCACGCTGCCTGACAGTCTGTCACAGCGGCTTCAATGAGATAAATACGACGCTGCAACAGATAATCACCTGCTTACACACGCGCTGTCACACACACACACACTCGCACATGGGGTTTTATTATGCTACTATAGAATTCAACTCAAGGTAGGTTAGGCACGTCCTAGCGCCAGCAGGAGAGAGAGCGAAGGAGAGGGAGAGAGAGTTAAGCGTGCGCGAGAGAGCTTTCGGAAGTGTGTAACTCCAGAGACAGAGACAGCAAGAGAGCGCGAAAGCGAGAGAGAGAGAGAGAGAGAGTGAGTGTGTGTATTCCTGGTCGGCCTTTGACTGGGCTGCTGCCGCGCCCACCAACTAATGGGCGGGCTACGCCTCCCACTTACTACTCCATACGCAACGTTTGCTTATTTTTTTTTCTTTGCTTTTCGAGAAACTGCGAGGCGTGTGCCATGTGTCGTGGCTGTGGGGGAGTCCCAGTTAGTCCATGGCAAAGAAAGCCAACGGAAATTGAAGTCCATTATAAACGAGTTGACACTGTCAGTGGAGGCGCAGCAGCAGGGGCAGCAACACAACAGCGTTGTCAATTGGCTTAGCTTATGAATTTATAGTGCGCTGCCATAATTGGGTCAAAGGATATTGACCTGGTCTAAGGCACTTGGCAAATGGCCAGGCAATACTGTGTGCATATGGGAAAATCGGCTCAATTAGGCAGACGACAGCTTGTCTGGAACACATTTCCTGTTTCCCTTGTAAACAAATTGTGTTCAATTTGAGCTGCGAGAAAAGCAAAAAGCAGAAAACAATATCAAAGCTGCGCTTGCTGCTGCTGCTGCTGGTGCTGCTGCTGCTGCTGGTGCTGCACTCTAAAGGCGTGTACCTCCATATACACACACGCACATCCACTCGGGCACTTGACTACTATATGTATATACACACACACTCACCCACACACTCACACACATTTATGGCTACTTCACAGATACATTTTCTGACTGCAATTCGTTTAGCTACCTTTTGCGATTAGTTTTTTTAGATGCGAACACTATGTGTGTGTGCTTTTTGTTTCTGTTTCGTATGTCTGCTGGGATGTGTGTAACTTTTCACTTCCGTTCGTTGGGCTGTGCACGTCTTGTTCAATTTAATAAATTTCATTTGATTGGCTTGCCGCGCCGTCTGCGTCTCCAGCACATTTCCATTTACGAAATGAGTTTGCAACGCCCGCGTTTCGCTCCGACCGCGTACAGACGACACTGACGAGACTCTGACGGACGACTCTGACGACTCGGCCGGGCCAGGCGCTGTTGGTGACTCTGACTCTGACTGTGACGCTGTCAGTGAGTGTCTGGGTCTGGGTTCCGTAAGAATTTCTGTTACATTTTTCACACATCGCGCGGAGAGCGCTCCGTGTGCCGTGCTCCGTGCTCCGTGCTCCACGCTCTTTGACTCCATGCGCCGTGCACTTTGGCTCTTGTGCAATGTACGCGTAGTCGTATCTATATCTGCTGAGCAGCAATGAAAGTTGTTGTATACAATACAGCACAATAAGTTTAGATATGCTCAGCGCTTTCACTTGATTGTTTTGGCTCTGCTGCCATCACAGTCGTCGCTCTATGCGGGCCAAAGAGCGCCAGCTACAGAGAGAGCAGAGCAGAGCACTGAGAATACATAATTCGTTTCTGTTTATTTACACGATATTAGGCATTTGTTTACGTATTTTGTTGTGCTAAACTGACAGACACCACAGTTAATCAGAGAGCCAAACAGAGAGAGAGAGAGCGTGCCAGAGGCATGGGCAGCCAGAGAGAGAGAGAGAGGGAGAGTGTGTGTGGGAGCGTGAGCATGGGAGTGAGAGTTGCGAGTGTTGTAAAAATAGTATCAACTTGCTTTATTTTGTTGTTATCATGAATAAAGAATGTGGCAAGCGGAACGCCTTGGTTGCCACATAAATGCATTCTATAGATATATATCTATATATAAGATCATTAATCTAGCTGAATCATCAGATGTCTCATAAATATAAAAATAAATTCGACTAATCCCTTATTGATGATTAAATATCAAGACCTAAATCAATTGGAGCATACAGAAGCCTGTGGTATATTTATTTTAAATTTATTATAAATATTGTGGCATGCAAACAGAAATATAAGTTTATTATTTATCAACGGTCTTGCATAAAAATATAAATAAATGCAAATATTCTTAGACTGATGATAAAATGTTAAGACTTAAATTTAAAAAAAAATGAAGACTTAAATTATAAATTAAAATTAAAATATATTTACAACATATTTATGTATAAAATATTTTTTAAAATTTGTTGTGGAGTTTTAAATTATATTTTATATAATTTTATTTTAACTCAATTTGAATTTATATATATAATATAAGAATTATTATTAATATTATATTTATTAGTTAAAAAATGTGATGAAAAATTTATTAAATTTATTAAAATATTATTAGCTAGCATTCCTTTGCTTAAGAGTTTTATTGGCTGTTTAATGATTTCATGAAGTAAATTTTTTTATAATATTCCCAACTTAAAAAACTTAATAATATAATTTTCTATATTGTTGCTTATTCTAGTTAATTCTAGTTTACACTTTATTTACAAAAAAATTTCTGTTAGTAAAATTTCTTATATATATTAATAGTTAAACTTTTTTTTATTCTTTTCAAGTTTCTGTTAATATAGAATGTAAATAAAAATAATTTAAAACTGTTGTATAATTAATCCATCTCTAATTTAATTTTTTAATAAATAGTATTTCACAATATATATATATATTGATTTTATTTAACATTTACTTATGTATGAATATTTTATATTTAATTTTTTTAAATTATTTATTTTATTGTTATATATATATTTTGTTTAATTTACGTATAAATTAAAAAATACATAATTGAAGTTTTAAGATTTTTAATATTTATGTTTACGTACATTTTTATATTTGGCTTTTAAATCTGTGCTTTAAATGCAGCGCTGCTGAGCTTACGTTGGTTATCAATGCGCGCGCGCTCTCACCCGCACTCTCCGCCTGCGCTCTCTCGCACGCTCTCAGACTCTCTCTTTGCTCATTAGACATGCGTCGCACAGACGAGTGAGCAAAAGCTTTCTTATCAATTTAGTGCCTGGGGCATTGTTGTTGTTTTGCTTTGTGTGTGTTTGGGAGGGGTGGGGGGAGAAGGGCGTGCAAAGCTTTTGAACAGCTGTTCGATAAGAGACGCTATTTAACCCTTCGATGGCCCTTCAAATGGCTATTGTGCAAATGTATTGGACATGAATAATGGCTCGCTTGACTGCGAATGTGACTCAGTTGTGGCGTTGTTTGACCAGCGGCACTGTGGGCGGACACAAATGGCTTTGTTGTGGCATGCCACGCGTACACAAACAAAATCGACGGATGACGGCGAAAAAACATAGCAAAACAGACAAACGGCTAACACCTACGAGCTCGACCCACCGCACGGGTATTCATATACGAGTGCCACAAATGCCACAAATATGTGTAATTGACTTGAAAATGCGGCAAGCAAATCAATCCCCAGCACGGACTCGGGCTATGGCCCGCAGTTGCTGGCCAAAATCTCGACCCCAAGTGCAGCGCGTGAACTCATTCTCATTCCGCGGCCAGCGCTGTGTGATTGATGAATGTTGCATATTTTGGACGCAGCGGGACGTCGCCTGCCGCTGGCTGCCTCCATTGTGTGGCATTAATGAGACACTGGCCATTTGTTTGACTGACCGCCCGACCACCCGACCGTCCGCGTCTTGCCCGTTGCACTCAATGACGTTTCAACGCTTTAATATGCTGTGCTCGACTGCTAATTGCCAATCGCAAACATTTGTGCATTTGCACAAATCGCTGAGATCGTTAAATTTTATAGAAATTGTAACACATGGGCTTGACGCTTGGTTACTTGCAGATTCATGTCTGTCGGTACTGCTGGATGCAGCTAAAAGCAAAAGCTAGCGGTTCTATTTATTACCATAAATAATTGTCAAAGGCAGCTAAAGTCAGCTGCTATGCAGCCAGCCCTGGACGGGTTGCTCGTATTTATTTCACCAAACGGCACACTTAAAAGGCAGCAAGCCGACGACTGTGGCACACCCCTGACGTCATGTTGGTTAGTGGGTGCAGCCATAGCAACAACAACAGCAACATTGCTCATAATAAAGACATTAGAATGTGCGATACGATTCTGGCTCAAGAGTCGGCATTTGATCGCGCAGTCTAAGGCGTAAATGATTTAGTTCCGCTGCATTGGCTACGCAACTTATTGTTGTTGTTGTTGTTGTTGTTGTCATGGAGCCTGGAGCTGTCTTAAGCGAGATACTCAACATCCGCAAAGCCAAGAAAATGTCTTCTCTTCTCAATTAATATTTCTATATATATTCCAGAGCAACCAAACATAACAATTTATCTAAATATATAAATTAACGTATCTAATTTCTTAAATGATTGTGGATTTCTTCGCTATCAGACAAACTATCATCTTCTGTCGACTTAGGTTCTAAATCATAATAATTCTCAGTTATTATTTCTTCTTCCTCATAAGTTTCGTCCTCACTTTCGTATTCGTATTGGTCGTAATATTGTGGGTCGCCGTTGGTGCCTGGCGGAATAAATGTTGCTTTGGGATCGTCACCAGAGTTGTATGGACCGTACTCTGGCTCAGTGCTAGACAGGCTGCATTTTAGTTCACAATACGCAAGGTTGTTAAACCGATTCGGATTCCCCCCACAGCCACTGTAATTGAATGCAGAGCAATAGCCGCCGAAGACGTCATATGCATACTTTCTAAAACTGCCTTTACAAGGACCAGGATTGGCAAGATGCAAACATCGATCTGCAATGTTGTGAGATTAGTATATAAATAGATACAAATTGATAACAATATAGAGCTTACACCTGGATAAATATAGAGGATTCTTCCAGAGCTTCACCTCACATTGTACGAGCACAGCTAATGAAATTAGGAGCAACTTCATGACTTCAGTTATAATTGGAGACAGAAATCAGGTCGACAAGCTCAGAGCTCTAAAGTAAATGCTAGTATTAGCTTAAATGGAAAACTATTTAAATATTGTTTAACAATTAGCTATTACAGCGTGAACTTCATGCAGCTTGCTTTGTTCTCACAGAACGTTCAAATGAGGCGCTCCCAAAGGCAAAGATCGAATGGACGCTCTGACATGAAGCAGCAGCCGCTTGGCAACATGTTGCCCATACAAATGTTGCTAACAATGCACAGTGGTTAGAGCTTGAATAAAGGATTAATTATTTACCAATTCCGAGTATTTTAACAATGTTTTGAATATTATTATAAATTAAATATTAAATATAAAATATTAAATAAATTAAAGTAAAAGTTTTTCAGTTACTTTTTGTTATTTATTATTTTTTTTAACTTATTTTTTGCCACTTTTTTTTTTATGTTTTTTTTAGTAAGCAATCAGTGTGCCTGGGATTTGATGCTTTGACCGTCTCGTCATTGTCGCACGACTCACGACGGTGATAAATAATCATCTGTCTAAGAAGCTCCGACTGCAGTACGAGCACAATTGAAGTTAGAGTGGAGCAGCTGCCCTCGTCCAATGTGCTTCTAATTAAGCTGCGGCAATAGCAGGTACTCGTAATTGCATAAGGAGTAACGGCACTTGCTGCTCCTGCCTGTTGGCCAAGTTAAGCGACTCGTTATTATCGCCATCGCTTCGGCTCTCATTTCTTCTACTGTTGTTGTTTTTTCTTTTTGGCTTATTTTGGTTTTGGTTTTGGTTTTGGTTTTGGCCATCTCATAGCATAGACGGCACAGATAGCCAACTGTATTGGCAATGACATTTCAATGCATTTATGATGTTTATCTTGGGCAGCAGGCCATGCAAAGTGCTCCCAGTACGATGTATGCAGCATGCTGCACCGATTTCGATAAATTGTGCACGTTTTCTAAGGCAGGGCCTTTATCAAAACAACTTCATCATCAGCAGCAGCGGCAGCTTATTGACTTGGCTCGCTTAATTGGCCCAAAACCCTGAAAGTACTTTTTAATGAAAAAAGCTGGCAAAATAAATAAAATAAAAATCAAAATAAAGCATACAAAGGATGCCGCCAAGCCGGCTGCTGCTGCTGCTGCTGCTGCAACTTAGATCCTGCTCATAATTCAATTTGGATCGTTGTCTCTTGCACAGATTTATTTGGCTGCTCACTCGATTAACATACAATTAGAGCATTGCTGCATTTTATTAAATACTAGTTACATAGTGTTTCATATGTAAATTCATGCATATATATATATATATATATATATATTCGTTGCATTATTATGCAAATGCAAGGTGCCTTAAATCGAAGGTCCAAGTACAATATGAGCTGCATAGCTAAATATAGGCATATATTTGAGCAGGATTTTTCTTTTCATTTTTTATGTTTTTCTGTTTTCTGTTTTTTTTGGAAAGTTTTTTGCTATAAGCACAAAGTTTACTGCTATACAGTGAGCATGTTGACCGTTAAGTGCCATTAAACAGGCAACTGCTGCTGCGGCATTGTTGCTGCTGCCGCTGCTGGTTGCTGGTTGCTGGTTGCTGTTGCAGTTGCAGTGTTGCCGCTTTCTAAGAGAAGAAGAAAATGAAGCAGGTGCGCAATTGTCAATTTTCTTGCTAGCTGCAGGAGAAATATAGAGAGACACACAACAAAAACAATGAATAACAAGGCAGAGCGGCGTCTAAAGGATGAACGAAGTTCGAATACACTTTCTGCTGTCTGAAGATGCTCCTCAGCTAAGGCTCACCAAAGTAAATGAAATTCCGTGACACAAATGACATGATTTTTGTGGATCAGAGACTCGATGCTGACTCAGAGCTTGGCTAAGTAAGTAGCATTTGTAGGCTTTTAGCAAACTCCTTGGCATTGCTCTGGCAAAAGTTCGTCGGGCTTTTATGCCTGATTTTTGTTAGTGTATTTCTATATCTGATTGTTTTGTGCACAGGTTTTTATCAGTCGCATATCGGCTTGACATAGACATAGTAAGTAGCTTTTGTTGCCTGTTGTCAGTTGCTGCTGCTGCTGCGGCTGCTGAAACGAGTGGCCAGCCCGTTGTGACTGTGATTATTATGATTGTCCAGTCAAGCATGGACGATGCCTATGCCTAGGCCAATGCCGATGCCGATGCTGAAGCTGAAGCTGAAGCTGATGCTGATGCTGATACCTATACCGATGTCTATGTGTACCGATGCCGATTGCTGCCGGCCACAGCATTGCCAAGCCAAGATTTATGACCTTTTTCTAAGCAAGATTTTTTTTCATTTATTTTTTTTTTGGCAGCGGCGCTTGTTCTACGAGCTGTTGTCCACAGATATCTCTTTATATAGCTGCATATGGATTCATATGGCATGCAATAATAACTATAATTTGCCTGATTTATGATTTGGTTTTGTGACATCAATTTGGCGGTTGGACCACGTCTGCGGCGTTGCTTTTATGCAATTTTAATGCTAAATTATTATTTGGCTACAGATTAAAGATTTTCCACTGCTCTACTAAGTAATTCATAATCATTTGAATATTGATTAAAATGCGATTCATACATAAAATAAAAAAATAAAAGAGTTCCATTTTCGATTGGAAAAGTTGCGAAGAAATTTCTATTTCTTATGAGCATGAATTTTTAACTGCTTTTTTAAGGCCTGAAGCCAGTAAAGAGAAATGAAAAATCAAGGCATAATTGCTAATTAAAATTGATAGAATTGACAGAAGCAGGATAGAACGCAGAACGACCAGCTGAGTCGATATGGTCCTGGCCGCCTGACTGTTTGTGCGTTTGTCTGTCTGTTCCTCCATCTGTTTCTCCCTCCATCCGTTCACCCAGCCGTCTGACTGTATGTATGATATATCTTAAGACAGGCTTGCATATATAATCTCATTCCATCATATTTACTTAGCTTGAATATAAAATTAAAATTAACATAATATTGAAAATTGTTTTGAGCTTTGTAGAAACTTCTTTTACTATGACTTCACTCAACTTGTGTTTATATGTTTCTTAAATAACCTGAAAAAAACTCATCTTTGTTGTAAAAATATTTATATTTGCTATATATATATAGCTGCGTGTCCCATCAACTACGTCTACTGTTCCCAGTAACAATTGCTGTCAATCTTAGCAGCATCCAAACAAGAAATTGCCATTTCTCCTATAATTGTAGATGTCAGGCGTCTGTGGCTATTGGCTCTGTTCTAACCTCGTTAACGCAATGTCAGCAATAAATGCCATAGATCATTGTTTATGGGAATGCCTCATGCCAAGTATAGGCAGCAGCGCGCCTGGGCCTGGTGTGGCCACTGTCGCTGCCGTTTCGGATGTCACATAAAGTGGGCAAACTAATTTCCGCTGTATGCTAATTAAAAGTGCCAATGGCATGACTGCCGATGGGCAAATTGCAGCCAGTGTGTCCCTAGCAAATGGGGCAGGCAAACAAGTGCCTGATCGAGGTTCTAGGAAGTGCAGCCGGCGGCACATGCTGCGCCTGGCTAAGCCATGCCCAGCCAACCAACCAAGCAGCCAGCCAGCCAAGTCGTTTCGTTATGGTTTAAATGAGCAATTTAACAAGCAGACAGCCTGAGCTGCAAGCGGAGCTGCCGCTGCTGCTGCTGCTCCATGTGGAGTAAGAGATCAAAGATAGAAATCTCGGCAAGAAGCGGCAGACAGTGGCAAACAGGCACACGGCGCTGGCGGCTCAGTTGGTTAGGGCCATATTGCTTGTTGTTGTTGTCGACTTAATAGCGGCGCTTGGCGCTGTTGTTAATGCTGCTGCTGCTGTTGCTGCTGCTGCACTTGAAATTGAATCTGAAGTAAAATCGTGCACATTCTGAGGCGACACCGAGATGCGGAAACGGCAGCACAACAAGCACAGAAGCCGTTAGTTAAACTGCTGCCACTGCCGGCGGCCAGCGGCCAGCGTCCAACTGCAGCTGCATCCCGATCGAATGTTGCCGCGAACCCTGCCCTTGTCGCCTGTCATAAAGGCTGCCCGGTTCCTTTTTTTGTTTCTTTTTTTTTTTTGAGGCATATTAATTATTTTTTCGGGCTTTTGTCGTTGGCTGTCGTTGTGTTTGTTGCTATTGTTGCTGTTGCTGTTGCTGTTGCTGTTGCTGCTCTTGAGGATATGTCCGTGGCTGGGCCCGCAGCAGCTGCATGCGCCATGGTCAAAACGCCCGCCAGCGATATTTGGGCAGAGATTTGTGCCGTTGTTGCGAATCGTGGCCAGGCATAGAGCAAAAAGCACACCAGCAATGAAATTTTTCGTACATGTTATTGTCCATGTCCCTCGGTCCAGAGCTTTGTTGCTGTTGCTGTTGCTGTTGTGTTGCTGTTCCGCCAATGTTGCCGTCTCGCTCGCAGCTCGAGCCACCCATGGCGGGTTCAATCGGGTTTCGTTACAGTTTTACTATGGGCAACATTGTCGAACGGCCCCTAGTTGTCTTTTAGCGTTTGGCATTTTCAATTTCATGTTTTGGCTGTTGCTGTTGTTGCCGTTGTTGTTGCTGTTGTTGTTGCTGGGTTTCTGTGAAGCACGATAAGCATTTCTTTTGAATTCGTTTTGTTGAGGGCGTGTGCACACCAAAAATCACAGTTACATCAAATTGTTAATTCGTTTCATTTTGCACTGGCCGCGCACTCTGATATGAAGTCTTGTAGCTACCGTTGCTTGAAGCACTCCAGCAGCAACAGCAACAAGAGCAACAACTTGAGGTCAATTGAAATAGTGCATAAAATCAATTGACAACATTTTGTGGTTTTGTCGCATATAGAAAGAAACCGTTGAAATCGTCATTTGGTTCCAGACAAAAAATACAAAAATTAACTCCACTCCACGATTCGCTCCGCTTGAGCTGAATATTGAAAGCATGCCAATTGTCGCATTATTGATGCTTAATTTATTACTTTCAGTCTCATAACTCACTGTCACATTGGATTACAGCTAATTAATACTCATAGATTTCATTTTTGTCAGATGTTTTTTTCTATTTATTTTTAGAGAAGAAATTTTTAG